GATGATCCGCTGCTGGCCAGTTTTCTCCCCGACGCAGAAGAATCCGACGGTGGCCTCGGCCCGAGCAGGCGCAAGGCGAACCACTCCGCGCCCCGCCGCCCCCTGCGCGAAGCATGCGTAGACGTGCTGGCTGCGGAAGGCGGGGCCCACGCGGGGCTCGCGGAGTCCGAGCTTAGACCGAAGGGTCGCCGCTGCAGCCGGAGGCCGTCGCATCTCGGCCGTCGAGCATCTCAGCAAGGAGGCGCGCTCGACCGAGGGAGCGCTGGCCAAGTCAACTGAGGCGGCCCCCGCGGCCGGCCAGAGCGCGAGGTCCTCGCTGCAGGGCGCGACGGCGGTTGATGTCTCGCCGCGCATCGCGGCGGAGCCGCAGTGCTCACGAAGGCCCCCGCGGGGGCGAACATCGGCAGGGCAGGCCCCGGCTGTCGCGCAACTGTGCTCCAGGTGCGCCAGGCGAGACCGCTGCGTGACTGAGGGCGGCCCAGCAGAGACGCCACCGCGACCGGGGAGGAAGTTCAGGGCAAGGATGCCATCGCTGGCCCACTCCAGGGCGCGAAGGCGTCAGAGAGCGCGGCGATCGACAGCTCGAGGGCGGCCGCCTCCACGCCGCGGACATTGAAGAAGAGGGGGCGGGAGCGCATCGCGCTGGCGACCCATCTCGCAGCGGCCGAAAATAGAAACGCCTGCCAGCCCGGGGCCGAGAAGCGGCAGGCAGTCGAAACCGTGGAGGAGCGGCCGAAGGCTACTCGCCCCCCTTGCCGCCCATGGCACCTTTCTTTGGGCGGGCCAGCGCGCGTTCCTCTCTCGCCTTCCTCCGCCCCTCCGCAATTGAGCTCTCGCGTGAGATCTGCTCGCTGGTCCAAGTGCTGAGCTCTGGCGCCGCCGCGAGGCCTCGGGTGGCGGCCATGCCCGCGAAGTAGTTGTGCTCGTCCCGATAGCTCTCATCGCCCACTCCCGCGCCGAGGATCTCGTCGCGGCAGCGCCCCTCGCGCAACTGCAATGGGCGAGAAACCAGTTCGAAGGCCCCGAGGCTGCTGATGTCCAACTGGTCGTGGCGCAGCGCCGTCTCGAAGATCTTGCTGAACTCCAGATGCGTCGACACCGTGATGACATCAAGCGCGAGTGTGATGTTCGACCTCCACTGCGCGCGATGACCAAGAGCGCTGCCACCATTCTCCAGCGCGAAGCGCGCCACCCAAGACACCGCGCGAGGCCCTGGCACGGGCCAGTCGGCCCACTGCGAAGGCGAACGGATGGCGAGGGCGTCGGCGAACGACCACTGGCGCTGCCCTCTTTTTCGCCTCGTAGAGGACGGCCAGCGCACGGCAGTCCAGCTGCGGGCCCAGGAGCAGCTCCACCTCCGTCAGCGCCCGCGAGAGCCGCAGCGAGCCCAGCATGCCCTGGGACAGGCGCCGCGGGCCCAGCGGCGGGCGCCGCTCTGCCCCCGACCGCAGGGGCCGCCGCGGGGGGCCCCGAGGGCGCCAGGGCCGCGCCCGCCACGGCGCCGGCGCCGCCAGCAGCCGCCGCGCCGCCACCACCGAGGAGGGCAGCCAATCCTCCACCAGGTCCGCCAGCCACTCGGAGACCTCCGCCACCGCCACCGCCAGCAAAAACTCCTGGCGCCGCCGCCGGCGCGACTCCTCCAGCGCCGAACTGCGCGTCGTGGGCAGCGATGGGGCGGTCAACCTCCTGCGTGAAGCCGAAGAACTCCTGCGCCGTGAGAGCGGGGTGGAAGTCGTAGATGGCCTGACCAGCTGTTGCAGCGGGAGCGGCTTCTCCTGGTCCACAGCGGTGCCAAGCTGCGATGTCCGAGTTCTCGGGGGTGAAGTGCTCCACGAAAAGGACGCGATCTGGCGAGACCACTGCCGCATGGAGCGGCTGAACGGCGCTGACGCACACCACCGAGGGCCGATGAAGCAGCACAGCCCCAGGCACAGCAAACGCCACCAGCAACTCATCGCCGATGTTCACCGGGTGTCAGCACACGACCGCGGCCCCGAGGTACATGTCGTTCAAGAGTGCAGGCCGAGCAGCCTCCGCGTGACGAGGCGGCCGCAGGGCGCTCCAAGGGCCACTCTCAAGCGACTCAAGCGGCACGTCAGGCCGCAGGCTGCGGCCACGCAGATGGTGAGGACCTCCCAGACCAGCAGCGCGAGCAACCCGAAGCCCGGCTCGCTGCCCCAAGACAATTGCCCCGCTTTGGCTCGGGGCAAGCCGGGCGGGGGTGTGGGCAGGTGTCCCACTCAGATGGGCAAGGCCGGGGCGGACGCGAACCGAGGCAAGGCCGCGCAAAGGTTCTCGACCTGCGCGACGAGCGGCGGCCGGGCAACCCCGCTCTCGCGGGGCAGGGACGGGCGCCGGCCTCGGCGCTTCCGCGGCGCGGGCGGCAGCGGGCGGGCGCCGCCCCACAGGCGCCCCAGCCAAGCGGCGCAGGCGTGGAACGCGACCAGCGTCACGCCGCGGGCCACCGGGCGCATGCGCGGGCCCAGAGCGCAGGCCTCCAGAGGCCTCCACAGAAAAAGCTTGAGCCGTGGCGGTTGCAGATTCGCCAGCTCGCAACCGCACGGCCCTCAAACGTTCTACGATTATAGTTCAAGAGCCCCCATCATCATCATCATCATCATCATCATCATCATCATCATCATCATCACCACCACCACCACCACCATCATCATCATCATCATCATCATCATCATCACCACCACCATCATCATCATCATCATCGTCATCATCATCGTCATAATCATCATCATCATCGTCGTCGTCGCCATCATCATCATCATCATCATCCTCATCATCATCATCATCATCATCAGTATCAGTACCAGTATCAGAGCATCACCATCAGCATCAGCATCAGCGTCATCATCATCCTCATCATCATAATCAGCATCAGCATCAGCATCACCATTCTCATCACCATCACCATCACCATCATCATCATCATCATCATTGTCATCACCATCATCACTATCATCAATCAACATCATAATCATAATCATAATCATAATCATCACCATCACCATCACCATCACCATCACCATCACCATCCCGAGCTGCGCCTGCCACACACTGCGCTCATCCTCGCCCTGCTGCTCGTTCTGCTGCTCCTCCACCTTCTCCTTTAGAACAAAAGCGCCATAGACATTAACTTTTGGAGCGCCGTGCGGATTTCTTGGATCCGCGCTGAGCCCTCCTCTCTGGGGCGCGGAGCGCGCCAGTGGCGGCGCTGGAGGCGCCGCCAGGGGGGGTTAAGCGCGGATCTAAGAAGTCTGCGCGGAACGCCGAAAGTTTATGTTTATGGCGTTTGTTTTTCTTCGATCCTCCTCCTCCTCCTCTTCCTGCTGACCCTCCTCCTCGTCATCCTCATGGCCATCCACCTCCTCCTCCTACTCTTCCTTCTGGGCATGACAGCAGCAGAGGTGCCGCTGCCAGGGTTGACTGTCGGCGGGGGGCGCAGGTGAAGGGAGGAGGGAAGCGGGATGAACGAGGAGGGAAGGGGGAGGAGGAAAGTATCAGAAGGAGGAAAAACGCCATCAACACAAACCTGTGGTGCTCCGCGCGGGTTTCTTGGATCCGCGCTGACCCCCCTCCCTGGAGCGCGGAGCGCGGAGGCGCCGCCGGGGGGGGCCCAACGTGGATCCAAGAGATCTAAGCGGAGCGCTAAAAGTGTATGTTTATGGCGTTTTCCTTTTTCGAATGAGGGGAAATGGGGCGGTGGAGGAGACGGAGGGATGGGTGGCATGCACACGCGACTATGTCGAGGAGGTCAACATCATACGTCCAGTGCGCGCGATTCCAGCTCAAACCTCTTCCGGCCTGAGTGCCGCAGCCCCTGTCCCAGACCGAAGGGGAAACAAACCTCTGATGGCCACGCCCGGCCACCTCCGCGAACGGGTGCGTGCAAGGTGACGGCGCTGCAGTGTAGAGAGGCGGGATGGGTGAGGCTGGATTGGGGGGAGTGGGCCGGAGAAGGGACCGGAACACCTGTCCTAATTGGGACTGGTGAAGCTACACGGCATAGCTGCACGCTAGAATTTCGTAGGCCGACTCGAGCTGAGGCATGCCTCGCATGGCAAGCACGGATTCCACCGTGCCCCATTCGAATCACCTGCACGGGCGGAACGACGGCGCGCTGCACAGGATTGGGGAAAGGAGGACGGGTATGGGGAGGAGGGATGGGAGAAGGAGAACGAGGGAGGAGGAGGAGGAGGAGGAGGAGGAGGAGGAGGAGGAGAAGGAAAATTAGGTGGCCCCACATAACGTAGCGCCCCCCCCCCCACTGTGGTGCCCGACGCACTGCGCCAGTGCCGGGGGCGCACTGAGGGGGGGAGCGTTACGAGTATAGGGGAGGGAGGGGGGGAGGGGGGGGGAGGGGGAGGGTAGGGGGCATAACGCACGTTATGGCCCAGAGGAGAAAAACACTCTCCGAAGGAAGTGGTTTTGCGAGCCGCGCCCAGTCGTGGCGACGAGGGCCCTTCCGAAGGCCAACTACCCGATTTCTCGGCTCGCACTCCTCTCTCTCAGAGGCCCCGAATCCGCAAAGCGTGCCACCCAGCAGATAGGGGGAGGCGGGGTCCACTTCACTCGGGAGGCCCCGAACGAAGTGAACCCCACTTCTCCCCTGAGGAATCTTGGGGTGGTTGGGTAAGGTTCGCATGTGGCCTCCTAGCCGCCGCGCGCGGGAGCTGGCCCACCCCCTCCCTCGACTGGACGTAAATGTGACCTTTCGCCGGAGTAACTTTTGATGCGGGCCCAATGTCGAGTAGGAGATCGACTACAGAATTGAGGCACGCCAGAATATTTGTCTGCCGAACCTACGGAAACACAAGCACATAGTGCTCGTAGATCTACGACCATTATGCGCAGTTTTCGTAGATCTCACTGGAATCATCAAATTTGGGGTGGATCGATTATGTAGTCGATCTCGCATGTGGCCTACTAGCAGACCCACGGGCGATCTGCGAACGAGGCACGAGGCGGCTGCGCGCGTCGCGGCGAGC